CATATGCCCAGTCACCCGTATGTGACCTCTAATCTGTTCTAATGATTGCAGGTACAACAACTATTAGTGGGCACCATGAATGTGGTGTGTCCATGCAATGGAGAGTGTGTCATAGTCGTGGTTGGGCATGAAAAGCCTAAGAACGTTGAACTATAGTTTTATGGGTGCCACTACTATGTATGTAGGTTATCAGTTAGATAATTTTGTTGTACTTTGCCCAACATGGTCTATGTTTAATAACATGTATTTGTTGTAGTTTGCCCCCAATAAACAATGCAACTTTTTCTTATGGAAAGATGAAGCAATGATGTGTCCCTATGACATTGGGCTATGCCGAGTGTTCACATCGAAAAAGCCTAGCAGCCAAGGAAAACGGTTCTGGGTGTGCGCAAAAACTCAGGTAAGAAAAAAAAAATTGTTATTCCATAATTATTTTGTTCAATGACTTATGAAAATTCATTTTTTTTTTGTAGGATGCAGGTGGCTGTAAATTCTTTTCATGGGTAACACTGGTGGATAGTGTAACCATGAAGGTAGATGATGGTTCAGGACCTTCTAGAATAAATGAAAGGTCATCTATTGACACATTGGATGAAATAGTAGCAGTTGTACAATCTGAAAAGGATATTTTAGATAGGATGTTCGAATTTTGTGATAAGTTATTGAAGCGTATCAAGGATTTACGCATAAAAAATTCATGATGTAGCTTTCTAATTTTGTCATTAGTGCTTGAAGGTGTCTATTTAATCAAACAGTTGTGAAAGATTCATGAACTAGTAGCAGTTGTACTCTCTCTCTCTCATATGTTTTATCAAACATTGAAGGTGTCTACTTAATCAAGTAGTTGTGAAAGATTCAAGAACTAGTAGCACATTTTTTCATATATAGACTATTTCATAACTAGTTCTATAACATGCACAAAACCAGTTCAGCATTGTTAAACATGGCAAGTTGGTGGGATAGACATGTACAGAATGTCTACTACAATGTATTTACCCCTGCATTGAGATCAATACAAGGATTGTCAAATTTAGCATTCATGGGTGGGGCAATCAAGTTTCAACTACAATTGTGTCATTGGTGGGCCAGTCAAATTCCTACTACAATGTAGAGCAACAACCTTTCCTCCTTGCTCAACTGAAAGAATAGCACCCGACCCAATCAAATACATTAAATCAATATACTCAAAAATAGACTATCAGTTATGAAATCAATCTATTCAAATTGTTCTCTCCACCCTATTAGTTATAAAATCATGACCAAGTTAGACTATCAGTTATGAAATCAGTATTCAGTATATTCAAAGATAGACTATCAATTATGAAATCAGTCCATTTAGTTTGGGTTTCAACTAAATCAAACACCTGCATCCATATGCAAGCTGATATGAAGAACCTGTATCAACTGAAGCAAACACTCACGTCAAACCCAACTTGCATCCATATGCATTAGATCTAAGGAATTCAAATGAATTCCAAAAAGTAAGAACTGTATCAACTGTATCAATACACAAGTTCTATAATCAGTAACAAGTCCATATGCTCTCTCCTACACCATTGTTCCAAAGTTCAAAATATAATCACTAACAAGTTTCGTGTCAAAATATATCAAAGTTCAAAAAAAAGTTGTGTTCCTCTGCCTCTCATGGTTGGGAGTATCTCAAATCCTGGCTACTCTGTTCCTCTACCTACACACACCAATTAGAATGAAAGTCAGTACAAATTTCAGCTGACATACTAAATTGTTATGATAAAACAAAAAAAATGTCCTCACTTGTCTTCCTAATGAAACAATGTCTGGATGTTGCAAGTTCCCCGTGTCAACTCTACCACCTATACCTCCACTAATAGACCTTCCCCTCCCCCTCCCCCTCCCCCTTGTCCTACCACCCCTATCAGACATTCCACTTGCACTACCACTTGTTGCTCCTGATGATGAACTAGCAACAACTTGTGTAGAAATAGCCCTTCTCCTGGGTGGAAAAACTTTCCTTCTTGTAGACTGGGTATGATCATGATCAGCAACATGCCTCTACCCTACAATTCAAATACCCTAGTTAGTACACAATACACAAGTAAAATACCATTCATAACTTCATATATGTTGAGTCTTGAGTGATTTTTTTACCACTGGAGTCTCTCTCTATTCATATTCGGAGGAAGGGCTCTGCAATTCCTTCTGTTGTACCCTATTATACCACAAATGGAACACCTGACTGTCTTCCATTCTAGTGGGGCTCGGTATAATGGGGCTGCTTCATCCTCTTCTCTTCTTCTCATGGTTCAGGGTCGACCTGGCCTCCTCCTCACTATGGGGGGTGTAAGTGGGTGGTGTTGCACTTGTTGCCAGTATTTCTATCCTGGGAGAGCATGAATAAAATGACTGTACACCTTTTCATATGTTGCCTTGTGGAAGGCCTTATCACATAGGTCTTCTACACTATTTCTTGTAAAGGTAAGCACTGCAAGTAGATGAGCACAAGGTAGGCCACTTATATCCCAAACCTTACATATACATGACATTAAATCCATCTTGGTGACATTTTCAACCTAGTCAGATCTAGTGTTTGAAACTCATATTGCCCTTATTAGAAAACCCAAACAGACCTGTTCAAACACAATAAGTAAGTACATATACAATGAATTGCTCAAGCCAAAAACACAAGTATATGGGAAATAAACATCACCTAGCTTACCTTGATCTCCTGTCAATGATTGATTGCACTTTAGGCAACAGATCAGACCTAAGTGTAGTGGATGCCTTGTGCTTATAATAAATCTTTTGCATCCATCTTTTCCTTATGTCCTCCAGCATTTCAACAATCGGCATTGCTCTGGCCTCCTCAATCCACGCATTAAATGACTCTGCCCAGTTGTTTGTTATCTCATTAGACTTAACTAATGGATCAAACCCATGCTTGGACCATGTGTCGGGGGGATCCTACTAAGCCATTCAAATGCATCTCTGGACATTTGATTACTTCCATGTAATGAACAAAGTCAGACTGGGTATATGATTTCCCAGCAGCCCATACAACATCCTTCAATGGTTTTCCCTTGAATAGATTTTTGAAGTTGTTATATAGATGACGTAGACAAAACCTATGATTTGCACCAGGCATGCAACATGATACTGCTTCAACAATGCCCTACAAACAAGCATCACATTTGTTAGTGCTATTTGTAATCAAAACAAAGGAAGTTATGCATTAACTCAACCAAACAAATATATATATATATATATATATATAGATATATACCTTCTGCCTATCCAACATAAATGTCCACCTGTGTGCGTCATCAATACCTAGAGCATCTCTTAACTCAACCAAGAACCACGTCCAACTGTCTCTGCTTTCAGCTTCCACTATAGAATATGCAATAGGAAAATTTTCATTATTGCCATCAATCCCTACAGCTGTGAGTATTATACCCCCTATTGCACCAGTCTTGGTGTGGCAACCATCAAGTTGAATTATCTTTCTGCAACCATCCAAGAACCCATCCCTTGGACTTGCAAGGCATATGAATACTCTCTTGAAAACCTCATATGTGTTTTCTTCTGAGTCAAGTGGGGCATGCAGTTTCACAACAGACCTAGGGTTGCTTGCAAGCAAGGTTGTACAGTACTGAGGGAGTATTGCATATGAATCTGCCAAGGATCCCCTAATCCTATCAACAACCTTAAGCTTTGCCCTATGTACTTTCCTCCATGTCACATCTATCACAAACATTATTCTAATTTCAGACCTAAGCACACTACTTGACATGGTAGGATCAGCCCTTAACAACCCTTCAATCTTTGTTGACACCCATGTATTTGTTGCCTTCCTATTTGTAGTCACCCTGATACAACTATGTGTATCATTGAGGGTCTTAACTATAAAGTTGCCTCCATCATAGCTAAGGGAGGCATGAATCCTCCAGCCACAGTCAACTACAACACACACTCCAATAAACCTACACTTCTCATTTTTCTTTCTTTTAATCTCTATACCCTCCACCACACAATATTGTCTCAGTGTTTGCCTAAACTCTTTCACATTGGTAAACTCCATACCAACCCGAAATCTTGGTATGGAAAAGTCAAACTCCAGTGTATTGCCCCTCTCCCTTGGACTATCATAGTCACTAGTAGGCTCATAGTCAAACAAATCAGCACTACCACCATCATGTACACCCTCGTTACCATCATCCTCATCTGAACCCTCATGATCCCCACCATCTGAACTCTCTTGATCCCCACCATCTTCATCCGAATAATCCTCACCATCATCTTCCCAGTAAGCATCACAATCATCATACAAACCCTTAAATTCCCCATCATCAACATCATGATGATCATCCAGCCCCTCATCATTGCCATGGCTATGACCAGCAACATCATCATCATCATCATCATCATCAACTACATAACAGTCAACATCATCATCATCATCTTGCATTTGTTCCTTTCCCTTGCCACTACACCCATCATCCATACTAACACACTTGGCTTCGGTATAAGTAACATATAATATTATCTTATGGAGGTCCCCATGGATAGCAAACATGTCCATCGCATCATTTTCACAACTAAGAACACCTAAATGCTCCTCTAAATCCTAACTTGGTATCCTGTAATTGATAGTCACAATGCTTCCAAGAGGTATAGCAGCCAATGAACAAAAGTCATTCAAGATGTCTAGATAGCATATTCTATCACTATCCACATTATCCACATGTCCAACTTGACCATTTACGTATGATAACTTCTCATCTGTGGACTTCCAATGGCCACCATAATTGATGATGAACATGTATCTACTCCCATCCATCACCTACATCATAGACAGGGACAAATATAGTTACAACATAAGCTACACAATAAGTACACAATAAGCTACACAATAAGCTACACCCTAAACACCATAACCTACAAAATAAGCTAAACCACAACCGAAAACATAAGCTACACTATGAGCTAGAACAATTCCAATCATGGGCCCTACACTTGAAACAATGTTTCATACATTGGTATTGACAGATTCATGCTGAAATAGTGTTTCAGACATTTTGTCAAGCACTTGGACCCACGTGTTGATCCCATGTGTATGAATTAAAGCAGACACATGGGTCCCAACACACCACATATACTCAAAACCTCCAAGTTCCATTTTACCCGGATTTGTCAATGAATCCCTGTGAGTAGTCCCCAAAACCCTAGCTAAAAAACACATAAAAAGTTGGACCATACCTCTGTGATAGAAAACGCAGGCTATCTCAATGAAAGTTGTAAGAAAAATATTCGAATCCCACTGCAAAATGGTAAAAATTTGTAAGAAAAATATTCCAAGAGCAACTAGCTCAGAGAGACGACAAATGTCATCCCTCCCCCGAAAAAACAAGACCGAAATGCATGTTTTTCATACAAACCTGCTGTGCACTGCCATACAACTTGCCGGATTTTGCAGCGGCAATCGTGGAAGATGACTGTGGTTCTTCTCCGCACGAACATTGATATATTTTTCTCCAATGAACGATGATAAACAGTGTTTGGCGAGAATAATACTTTAATCTCTCCCTCATTAAGGGAGGGCAAAAACATAATTTGAAAAATGGTGCAAAATGGGTTCGATATGAGTGAGAGTTAACGAAAGGGTAAAAACATAAAATCATCTTTTCTGTCCTGATTTAACGATAATGACAATTATCAGAAAACTTAAGGGTACCGCAAGACAATAGCTAACCAGTAGGGGTACCGCGTGTTATTAGGCCAAACAGTAGGGGGGTGTTTAAGAGATTTACCCTATTAATTATTAGCTAGCAATTCCTACCACCCATATGCCAACTGCTTGATTGAGTAGCAATTCCTCCCTCTACATGTACTCAATCAAGCAATTAACCTTAGCCAAGTGTAACCTACATTTTAGCATGGTTTTTAAAACCGACCCGGTGATTGAACCGGTCAGGGGTCCAGTTATCGGGTAGAACGGTCCAATCATTCGAACCGAACGCTCGGCCCATTCTGACAGAAAAATATAAAAATAAAAGAAAATTCAAAAAAATAAAAACGGTCAAAACTGTTCGAACGATTAACCACCCGGTTTAGCGGTTCGCTGACCAAAATCAACGGTTTTGGGGGAAAATCCGGTTTTTGGGGAAAACAAAGACCGGTTCCCAATTTTTCCGGTCCGATCGTCCAGTCTAGTATGGTTTTGAAAACCATGCATTTTAGGCCCCATTTGTTTTTTTAGAAATTTATTTATTCACATAAATATATTTGTCGGATAAGTATATTTGTTTAAATGTTTTTTATTTTTTAGGTAAATAATTAGTCGTATAAAATCATTATTAAAATGAGCAATTTCGTTCCATTAAGTGTTGGGTAACTTACCCACTTGAGAGATAGGTATCACTTACACACATAAATTAAAAAAAAAAAAAATAGAACATACAAAGTCCCTCCCGTACTATGGGGTTAGTGACAAAGACCCCTCTTGCATTTTTTTTTGCGACAAAGACCCCCTTGAACTTTGGCCATTAGACAAAGACCCCCTCGGCCATTATGTCTGACGGAAGGCGTTAGGTTATCAAAATACCCCATTAAGCTTTCTTTGTTTTCTTTCTCTTGCCATTCTCTCTTAAAACCTAACTGACCCAAAAATACTTTTAATCATCGTCCGAAAAAGAAAAAATCCAACTTTTTCTTTGGTGAGAAATCTGTGGCAGTGAGAAATCTGACTTTTTTCACTAGTGGTTTCGTCAAAAAAGGAAAAAATCTCCAACAAATTGCAACAACAAACCAAAACTACAAGAAAACTTCATTTTTCACATGAAAACTTGATTTATAGGTCCCAAAAAAAGTTCAACGCCACTTACTGTGCCAACATATTCCCTCCTCCACTTCCACATTGGCTAATTTGGTTTGGTGGGATCTTGAACCAATGCATCAAATTAGCTAACCTTATAAACGCCTCTCTGGGGTTACTATCCATTGTTGAGGATTTGTTCCATGGTAATTGGTGAGGTCCACTTGACATTAACAGGTTTAAGAGGTTGAACTTCTAGAAAATTTTCTTCTAGCTACTTTGGGTGACTTTCAGTAGTTGACATAGCCTCTAGCGTCAGAATCTAATGGTTGATGTTCATCTCATCACTCTGGCCCCCGGCCTCGCTTAGGCGTAACTGTAGTCTAGCTTCCTTTGGGGCTTTAATAAGTTGACATGCATAACCTCTGACGTCAAAACTTAGAAGCAAGCCAATGAGCCAGAGCAGTGGGATGCTCTGCAACTTTGAATCGTTTAGGCTATGTTTGGTTTCAAGGAAAAAGTAAAGAAAGGAAAGGAAAGGTAAAAAAATCCATATAAGAAAAAGGTTTCTCTACTTTTTCCTTTAAACCAAACATAACTTTAAGGAAAATTTGAATATAGAGGCATTTTTACGAATGTTTAATCTGCCACGTACAACTATATATATACAAATCTGATTCTAAATGCATTAACAAAACATCACCTAAAACCAAACCAAAGTCTCCACAAAATCTGGAAATCGATTAAGAACCGACAAGAGGATTATAGCTTTAGCTTGTATCTCCACTAGTTCATCCTCCTAATAAGTTTATTGATATAATGTTCCTGATTTCCAGCATCCAGCATCCCCACCTTCAACATAATGGTTTCTCTTCTTCTTCAAGCCGCTAGATGGAGCACTCAACTTGAATGACCAAAGAAAATTGTTTGCCTCCTTGAAGTGGGGCCCTACTGTACTGATCTCATGGATCCGATCTTCCATGTATATGATCCTATACTTTCCTAGGGCCTGTTCAATTATATATAGAATTATTAGTGAAAGCAATCTAATGTCTATTCAACCCTATGCAACACATTCATAGTTTCTTTGTTGACTTTCAAAAACACACCATTAAAAATCTGTCTCAAACGGTGGGTGCATTGCATTGATACCATGGATACGAATAATGAACAGCAATTTGGCTTCTGGATTAATATAGAAATCATCTTTCAGCTTGGCCTCGCGCTTCAATTTGATTAGCTCTTTCTCCTGTTCCTGGTATTCTTTAACATATTGTTCAGTCCTCTTGAAGATGAGTTTTCGGTTTTCAACTTTAACTCAATTATACTCCACCAAGGAACAAGCTTATATCCATCCTTCACCATTCATTGATTACCTATTGCCTTGATCACCAGTTCATAATCCCGTTACGAAACTGCAGACTCGTCTATGAAACCACCAAGATCTCAAGCTGCTTATGTTGCGCTGTGCGAGAATGGTAACTGATTTGTTGTGTGGGTTGCAGAGCTTTTGAGACACTCCCCGTCTGGAACCTTTGTTCATCATCGCCCTTTCGGTGTCCATCAAGTCCTCTCACTGCAAATCATTCTAATGTCCATTAGCACCCCTATACAGTGAGATGAAGAATATGGTTTAGGCTATATCTGCCGGTTCCTGGGGACACCAAGGAGGCAGCAGAGGATGATGTGTTATCTGATGGGACGGTGGTGAAATGATTTTGACGAATTAAAGAAAAATGTAAAATAAATTAAAAAAGGGTAGTTTAGACATTTAAAAAAATGTAAACAGCCAGATGAGAATCTTTTTTAAAGTTAATTGACGAAGTGCTAAGAGGGGGGGGTCTTTGTCTAACAGCCAAAGTTAAGGGAGACTTTTTTTAAAAAAAAAAAAACGTAGGGGTCTTTGTCACTGATCCGACCCCATAATAATAATAATAAGACGGGGGAGTCATTATAATTTACCCTAAATATTTTGATAAATAGAAACCAAAGCGTCATTGATTAACATTCCCCGAGGGAGGGTCCTTACAGTTTGTATTGAAAGTTTACCCCATGTGCTGGTGTATGATCATGTCCTCTCTCAAGTGGCAGCTTATATACTCACCACTAATCACGAGCACAATTCTCGGTCAAAATGGAGCGAGAAGGAAAGAGTGGATAAGGACCAACAGGCAACAGCTATTTCTGGCTCTACCCAAGTAAGCGACACCCAATCGCAGTTGGGCTTCGGCAATCGACACACATCTGGACTGGATTCTGGTCTCTGGACAGCATTGAGACAAGGGAATGATATAAAAACACACCCACGACTTGAAGTAGAAATAAATAATCAACCCTTCTTTGTTTAAGCCCAAAAGAGAGAGAGAGAGGGGTCCGAACTCGCGAGATTCATTCCTTTAATTGACTGGAAATAGAATTAATTAAGAGAATGGAGAAAACAAATAATTGTAAACAACACAAAGCCCAGTGAAAGCAGACAGCCTCAAACTAAGTACATAAACAAATAGTAAAAACAAAACACAATTAAACAAATACATAGACCACATTCTACTAAAACAGGATGCATGTTTTATTTGGTGAATATATTAATTAGTGAGATCTCAAGACAGGATCTCTGAAGCTTTATTGAGGTCCTGGACTGGAAGTAGAGGTGAGATACTTCTATATTGGGCATTATATTTTTTCCATACATATGTCCCTTCACCCTCGTCTTGACTTCCTATAGAATATGGGCTACCAATCCACCCTATCCTACCTATTTGTCTTATCTAATCTTCTTACATGATGCATGCACAGAAAAGATAAAACCTAAGTTTTACCTTTCTTTTTATAATTAAATTAAAATAAATACATATTATCCATATGGGTTTCGCTCGCAGTATCACTTCAAATATTGCGGTGGTCTTAGCTTCATAGAACATGGTAATAAGTCTTTTTCAAAACATGGTTCTTAAGTCCACCTTGGGAGACAACTTCAATTAAAAAAATGAAGAATTAAAAACTGTTGACACAAATATTCAGTAATTGCACAAAATATTTGAATCAGATGCTCAAATACCATCATGGTGGTGCCTGTATGGATGACCCTTTTCTGATGAAAAATGAGAATTTATATTGTGTTTCATTCTCATCACAAGAATTTTCAACTAATCCGAAATACATTTTAATTACGCTCATATTTGGTTCTTAGCTCCCGGTGCGGCATGAAGCAGTACTCCAGTCCAGCGTTTGTTGGATACTAGGCATGGTATCTGCAGTTCTGTTGTTCACAGCATATTCCGTACACACACATACACACAGATATAGATGAGTTCGTTCAGAGAAGCAAGTCATTAAAGAATTTGACGAATACAACTAGCCCGCAGTAGTAGCTAGATTTGAATGCATAAGATTAACAACAAACCTATCTAAACCACGGCTCTCATTTACAACCTTCATTCATGACAAGAGATTAAATTAGATTTAATAAAAAGAAAAGATGAAAGATTTATTTTTTCTTCTTTTGCTCTCAGGTTGTTCCCCACTGCGTGGACGGGTAAAGAAAAAGAAAGTTACAACAAGGAACATAATCCCTTTGAGATCTATAGTTTGTTCTTCTTTTACAATCCTCCCATCTCTTTCTGAGCAACAGCAGCAACAGCAGAACAAGATAGAAGATATTACCATATCTCATTTTCACTCTCTCCTCTGCAAGCAACCTGTGAACAGAGAGAACAGATCCAGGAATTGAATAGTTGTATCAATGAAATTTCTTGTATGAGTTTATGACCAGTGAAAGTAAAAGCCAAAAGAGATCCGGTGACTTACTTCTTTAGATGAAGTAGTTTTCCCTTGGTGAGAGGACTTTAAGAAACCAAATTGCTCCTGGAATATTGGCGTCCCCTGTGACTCTCACAGGAGGGGAAAGTCTTAGAGAGAAGAGAAGGAGACATTGAGGAGGAAACCAATAATAAGAAGAGAGTAAGAAAGAAGAAACCCAGACAGAGAGGAAGTTGGGTACCTGAAAATGAGTTGCAGAGAAGCCTTGCGAGAAATCCAAGAGATCCTCCATCGCATCTTGGTTGTTGGAGGGAGCCAAATTGTTCTACGGAAATAAGTCAAGAACCAATCAAAGAAAAATTATTCCTAATAACAAGTGAGTGAAAAGGGAAATAATGTTAATGATAGAGATTCGTAGACAGCTTTCAAAAGCAATCTATTACTCTAACTATTGTTTCTTTTTCTTTTCCTTTTAACTAATACAGTTCTTGCTCTAGAGCCTAGACTTGCCTCGGAGAAGTTGAAAACAGGAGAGCTAGCAGTGTCATCACGAAATGATAATAGATGCTGTTGCTGTTGACGTTGGTCTAATTTTCTTCTTTTTCCACTCTTGTTAGCTAATACATCAGCCGGAAAAGCAGAAGAAAAGCACCCATTTTCTTCAAAATAGTCATCATCTTCAAGGAAATGCGGAGGCCCAGAAGATGCATCCGAAACCATAGATAAATCCTTTTCTTCATCCCCTTCTTCTGTTTCTTCTTTTCTAAAATCTTGACCAAAGAAATCAATTTCATCACGAAGCCCGCAACATCTTTTGTAAGGATTTGTAGAAAGAGAGGAGTGGTCTAAATACATAGTCCAACCAGATTCACACCCACTACTGCACTCTGAAGAAGCCAAGCCACTCATTCTTAGCTCCTCTTCAGAGAACACCCGAATGAGTTTTCTTCTATTAGCTAGCAGCTCCGTTATTTACAAGAAGCCGCGAACTAGATGAGATGAGATCGAAGTGAAATGGAAATAGATTCTGAATTACTACTATTTCTTCGTCTCCTCTCCCCTTCTTCCTCTCTGACTTTGTAAGTAGAAGAAGACTAGAGAGAGAAAAACCAATCGAATCACACCCAAATCCTAGGCAATTTTTGTCCTAACCCGCCTTTCTGTTCGCCAACTTATTTATCCTTTTTTATTATTATTATTATTATTATTATTTTTTTTTTTTAACTCTCTCTCCCTCTCTTCTTCTTTTTTATTCTCCTAATGGCAATGGCCAATGGATGCATCAATGTTACCACTTGGGTCGGTGTTTCTTAATTCTTATGCGAGAGACGAGGGAGGGGATGAGATGACTCTGCAATGGAAGCTTTGAGATGAAGATTAGACCTGTTCATGGGCCGGGTAGCCCGACGGCCCGCGGGCCTGACCTCGGGCTTAACACAGTAAGCCCGACTGTGTTTCGGGCCGGGCTCGGGATTTGTCAAAAAAGTCCGGCCCGAGCTTGGCCCGGTCCGACTCAGTATTATATATTTTATAAAATATATAATATGTATTTTATATATTATATAAAATATATAAATAATATAATATTTATTAAAATATATATTTATAATTTAATATATATATATATATTTTATTCTTTTCTTTATAATTTCAATCTATCTCTCTATATTCAGCTGCTTCAACATTAATAATAATAATAATATAAGCTAAATTTCGGGCCCAGGCCCAGGCTTGGGCTTCGGACTTTTTATGAGAACCGGGCTTGGACCCAAATTGTAGGCCCAATGGTCAAGCCGGGCTCGAGCTCGGGCCTTAAAAAAATTTGTTAATACACAATAAAAGCCTAGCTCGGCCCGGCCATGAACAGATCTAATGAAGATGGAGCCCAACGCCTTCACATGCAATACAGCGAGGCACTGTGTACGCTCTAAACAGAGGAGGGCACACGTCCATAATTATTTCAAATCCCGTGAATAGAATGGTTACCCAGGGCCAGGGATTATATGGGTCTCACCGTTTCTTGTCCCCTATTAGAGTATGGACTATACTACAGTGCAGTAATAGCAGTAATAGACTAATAACCATTCTCTATTTCTCTCTCTCTCTTCTCAGAGAGATCCTTGGAATTAATTGTTTTGTTGAATAATTGTACTCAACAACAATAATGTAATAATGTCAAAGCATTTGGGTACTTCACACTTTCACAGTAATGTGGATTCTTTTAAGATGGTTTCCGGACGGGTTAGCTTAACCATTTACATGGGGCCTGATGGAATAGACCCGGGTTCTACATTCAAGACCGTATTGGCCGGTGTAACAACCACTGTTTAGGAATATTTTATTGGAGAAAGCCAATAGCCGTACATGCAAATAAGCAACAGGACACGAGTCTACATGCAAACACAACAAACATAATAAATATTCTAATCCAACTAACTACTAGTTTTACTTCATATTTGCCTGCACATCTCACTTCCTTCTAACTCTTCCCAATAACAATACTTTTCAAAGCCTGATTGTTCTCTCTCTTTTTTTTCTTCCATTATTCTTTATGAAGCCATTAAAGTAGAGTTAATGCCATATTTGGGAGTGCTTAAAAATAAGTATTTATTTGGGTTGGGATTACACCATTAAGCACTTATTTTGGTATTTGGAAAATAAGTTCTAAATAAATGCTTATTTTAAAAAAATAAGGGTTTACTTTTTAAACCTAAATTTCTAACTTTTTTAAGTGCTTATACAATAATCACTTATTCATTTTTTTTTTCTTTCAAAATTATCCTTAATTGAATTTTATAAAAGTATTTTTATTAAAGTGTTTTTATAAAAGTATTTTTATAAAAATACTTTCAAAAAAGTGTTTATATTAAAGTTCTTTCATGTTCATTAAAGTGCTTTTGTACAAGTACTTTTACTCAAGTGTTTTTATAAAAGTACTTTTATTAAAGTGGTTTTGTAAAAGTGTGTTTATAAAAGTATTTTCATAAGGGTATATTTTAAAAATTTGAAAGAAAATGAAGGACAAAATAGTCACAAATGCTTATTTAAGTGTTTATTGAAGAAAAAGACTACCAAACGCCCAATAAACACTTGTTTTTAACATAAACACTCCCAAACATGGTCTAAGTGGGGTCAATTTGGAGAGCTTCTATATAGGATTACACCTGTTCTTATTGGACTTCAAATTCCATCTTCTATTGGAATTGAAAAAAAATATATGGGTGGATATTTTTATATCTAAATTATTCCAAATCAATTCTTTCATTCCAAACACAACCTTATGCCTCGAGTATCAAACCAATAGAAAAATCTTACCAAAAAAAGAAAAAAAAAGCATAATACGAATATGGCAGGTTAATAATTTAAAATTTTACTCTGATTCAATATTTTTATAGAATTGTATTTATATTCAGTTGGAGTGATTTAACAAAAAATTCAAACTATTTTGACCGAGTTGATCAAAACTTATTGAACCTTTAATAATTTAAGGAATCCTGATACAGAGATAGTACAATTGATATGCATTTGAATCTGCAGTGCAAATTAATCCAATTGAAAGAAGCCAAACACACTGTGTGGTGGAGTAATAAATAATGAATTAATTAGTCAATCTACAACTTTTGTAATGATATGCCCTTTTATATGTGGAAACTATTGTTAACTGCATTTATTGTACAACTTATGGTGATACTCATGAGCATAAACATTGGTAAATTATTTAATTTTCCTGTTTTGGTCATTTCTACTTTACCCCATTTTCTATCATGTAGATTGATGATGTGGCAAGTTAAAAATAAGTTGTTATCGTAAGGTTGGCACCGTGATCATTCATTGAATCCATGTAGGTGGCTTAAGAAAAATGAATCCATGTAGGACAAAAAGTTTGCCGTAGAATAATAAATGACATGATTTGGTAATATAGCTTTCCCCAAATCAAGGTTTGTGCTAGACAATGGTTGCCACAAGTAGAACTGTGGAATCTTTCATCTGTTTTGGATGATTTTAGGCCCTAGCTTATGCATTTAAATACCAAAACAAATTAAGGTCGTTAGTACAACAATGATTTCTTGGTGAGGATTACATGGCCTTACATATCAAGTGGAAAATTGAAATATTGCTTTAGTTTGTTTAGAATTTAATGGTTTGACTGAGCTACCTCTTCGCAGTTATCCCCATGGAGAAGTGTCTAGCTATCACTGCAGATAATAAAATCTTATTTAGAGATTTCATCTAACAGCTTAAATTTTAGGTGGAACTGTTTATTGAGATGATATTAGAGTCTGTTTGATTAAGTATATGTTTAATTCCGTTGGCATTTAAACAAAGGCCATTTATTATTTTAAATGTTTATCTATACTATCTTAATTTAAATGTTTTTCACTTTAAATGTTTTTTTTTAACATCATTTTAAATGACTTTTGCTTTTCACCTTAAATTAACACCCACAAAAGCATRTCATATTAGCATTTCATTTCAAGAAATGTTGGGGCATTAGGAAAACAAAAATTTGACATTCCCCAAATGCCCCATACACAAAAATCAAAGCATTTCAGTTTCTTAGTGTTTATTTGATAAATGATAAAATCAAATAGTAATTTCAAATGCAATAAATGCCAACACCTATATGACATTTGTGACAGTATTTTTTCAATAAACACGCACAGAACTAAACATCACCTAAGTGATCTTGTATTTAATTCTTATCACCTCCATTATAATTAATTAAATTTCTTTATAAGATTTGAATCAGCTTGTACTTATCCACATTTCATACTGAATATAAACCTTATTTAAGTTCCCCTACCTTTTCTTTCAAACCAAACACAACCTTAATCAATACATACTTTGAATAGATTTCAGTGGTTTTGGGTCCCTGCCGTTCAAGCTCATCAATCCACTTTGTTCAATTTATGGGCCCAATTAAAAGATTGGACAGGATTACATTGTCTTGGCCACTTAACTGATTGAATATGTTTAATGGCCAGCAATGCAAGGTACAAGAAATTAAAGGAAAAAAGAAAACAAAAAAAGAATCCATTAATTGGACGGTTCGAGTGATATAATCAAACATTTTACGGTCTCCATGGACGAAGGAATTTGGACCCAAAAGGATATGATTAACCATTTTCCTAACATATACGATATGCCTCACCCTGTGAGCTGGGATAACTTGACATGTGATCAGCACCCATAGATGTGGGCCCACCTTTTCATGGGTTTCGTTTGGATAAGTGCCTAAACCTCACATGACCTTTTAACGAGTGATTGATTGGGTTTTGACCCAGATAAGCTAACTGCATGGTGGGACTGATTCTAAGGTAAATTTCGATGTAATGGATGTGTGACACTTGACAAGTTAAATTGCATACGGGCCCTGGTTCTGGAGCCCCAGACCCACGCCTCTGCTATCAAGTTTGCTCCCTACTCCGTACTGTCTTGTTTTTGTATTGTAGAGATGGACAAGACTGGGCCGGGGGAAACAAAAGTCGGTTGTCCTTGCACCAACTTGATTAATTATGGGCCGTTGTTTGAGCAACAAATCTTTTTCTCTCTCTTTCTGAGTCTCAAGTCTTGTTATTATTGGTATAAATTTATTTATATTTAAAGTAAACATACGAATAAAAAATGCTTACAGTTGGAAATTGGAATGTGAACTTGCACACACATACAAATATGCATGCACGTGCGCTCGCACGCACCTCAATCTGAAATGCTCTCTACAGTTAGTTCCCTATAAAAGTATAAAACTATCATCTCCCCCACTCGTGTGTTGGGATGCTGCTTCCAATGGAAAATGCTGCGCACCAACAGATGACCAGAACCTGCAGCCTCAATTTCGATGTTGAACAAATAAAGGTATTTTTAGGGATGTCAATGGCAATGGGTCATGTTTCCCTCAGAACGGGCAAACCATAACGGGTTTATCACTTAACTTAACCCCAGACATAAGACTTCCTATGTATTTTGGTCGAGTTCGAATCACCTGCCAACGAAACACATCCCAACCCCTATCAACATGATCTGACACTGCATCTTATGCATGATAAGTCTAATTTATGTTTTTTAGTGAGTCTCAGTCTGATTGTGAAATGTACGATGTTACATTTTGTTGGTCAGACCCGACTCAATTTTGAT